ATATTCAACTGTGTTAAAATTCTTATTTTTCCTTACTATCTTTGTTTAGAGTATTCCCAGAAGCTTCTGTTTGGTTGAATACAGAAATTGATTGGACACATAATAGTTCATTCCTTGTGAATGTAATTGGCAAAGCTGAAATATTTCTATCCGTTCCCGATTTGTCTAAGGTAAAAACAATTATGCACAAAAGCGTATATATATATTTCTCTTGTTTTAAATTACAAAAAATAACATGGTCATTTAAAAAAAAAGGATTTTTATGATGTTTTCAAAAAGATAAGCAAACGTTGTTCTATTATTCAACAACCAGTTAGGATATTAACTATGGAGTATTTCATTAATGAGCGAATTTAATCTGCATGACCAACACCAATATAATTCCCTGTATGTTACACGATTATTTAAAATTCATATTTAGTTCACAAATAATACATCATTTACCGGAGTTTAATGATGTATCATTGTCATCAAAGGATAGCTCAGTGAGATTGCTTTAGTCTTGGAAGTTATACGTCCGACTATAATTTTCTTAAAAGAGAGACGAAAGATACCAAAGGGACATTTAAACTCATAAGTCGAAAATAAAATGAAAAATGAAAACATCATGGCAAAACAAAAAGACCAAAAAGACAAACAACAGTATACAACACACAACATAAAACTAGAGACTGAGCAACATTAAACTTGTATTTGTTATAATCAACAAGTATATGCTGTCCACGCACATTGTTTTTTTTAGCATTCGAAGTGTAACATTTTATTTGATTGAATACTGGGAATAATACTGAAAACAAAAATAACAAAATAGCATGGAAGGTTCTCATGTGGATTTGATAAAATAATTTGATTTTCTAAATTTCGTAAAAATTTACCCATCGATATCTGCTTGATATCATTTTCATCTGTACATGTAAAGGTTTTTCAATTTTACAGCTATTAACAGGTTTGTTTGTTGAAGAATGGAACAGTTTAATAATGTTGACTGAAGTAACAATACCCAGATTGGAATTTGACATTTTGAAGAGACACGTTGTGATGAACTTTAAAAATATTATTACAGCTAGTCTGGAAGCTTACATGTCATTAGGAGGTAAACAAAGCTTTACAATTCATGAGTAGTTTATTCTTTTAAAACTTTTCAAATAAAAACAAAAATATCTTAATATCACATCCCCTAGCAACGAATGAGTGTTTTAACTTTACAAGTTTGTAATTTGCCAGATTAAAAACTAATTAGTTTTTTTCATTTTACATTAAGGGTTTATAGAGCAAAATTTTAAATCATATGACCTTCAAATTCAAAAAAAGTTGAATATGTTTTATATACTTGAATGGCTATGTTTTACTATAAAAGAGGGGCGAAAGATACCAGAGGGGCATGCAAACTCATAAGTCGAAAATAAAGTGACAACGCCATGGCTAAAAAAGAAAAAGACAAACAGACAAACATTAGTACACAAAACACAACATAGAAAACTAAAGACTAAGCAACACGAACCCCACTAAAAACTGGGGGTGATCTCAGGTGCTCCGGAAGGGTAAGCAGATCCTGCTCCACATGTGGCACCCATCGTGTTGCTTTGTTTGTACAAACTTGGTAAATAGTCTAATTCGGTAGGTCACATTCGTGAAAAGGGAACCGGATTGTAGTTACGACATTAGGAACATATCCGCTGTGAAACGGATATTCCATAACTGTCAACCAACTCGTGATGGCGTCTGTAAAATGTACGGGGGATGATTTTAACTTCACCATTTGGAACTCTTGGTTTAATAGTTTCCTTGTGAGCAGCAACCCTCTATCAAGGCAAGGAAATCATGATAGAAAATTCAAGCCCGGGAATATCGTATCAATTGGGAGGTATAAACTCCGTATGCAGGCGCTGCGGGAATGTTGCTACATAGAATTGGAAAGTTCACAATTGGGAAGCTGAAATCATCTCTTTTGTCGTAAAGTTTTGTTTTCAACCGACCCTCATTGTAAATTTCTAGATGTAAGTCAAGATATGAGGCAGACTTAACTGTATCTGTTGTATCCTTTATCTCTAGTTCGATGGGATAGATGCGTTCAACATAGTCACCAAATTTTGAATTATTTAGTGAGAGAACATCATCTATAAATTAAAGGATACTTTAACTATAAAATACGTGTACATAGACTTTCATTTAAAAGGAAATTCTTTCTTTTATCAAAATCTTCAGAAATGTACTGCTGTTCAATTTTTGTTTTCCCGTACTATAATTCGACAACGGCATATCCGTATGCAGTGACCTAAAACATGACGCATCTCGTTAGAAATTTTGCAACTGCACACCGCAAGTGCAAGGGAAAAACCGTGATAAAAGAAAATGTAAACAAATGGGGAAGGAAGAAAGTATTATCATTTATCGATTCTGAAAGAAAAATTCTAATACACCAAATCAATTAACAACTGTTACGACAAAGTCTAATTAACAAATAAAAACGAATGGAAAATACATAAAAAAGACTAATAAACATCACTGTATCATCTCACTTCATTTTCACGTGCATCATGAATCTGTGTTGATTATATATCAAGGTTAAAATCGGTAAACTTCGACATCAAAATCCGAAAAAAAATTATCAACAAAATTTCTGATCAACAATCCCCGAATAAAATATTTCTCTTAATCATATGTTATGGATTTGTAATAAATGAAAAAAATCGGGAAAAGAGAACTAAGATGAGTATATATACATGGATTGGTTCAATAGTTATCAGACAATCGTTTCATATGAGTTTTACAGAAACATGTTATGATATGTCTCATCTTTCGATTTGCCTATCGTCTGAATTTTAATAGTTATCGACGTATTCTGTAAGTTATATTCAATATTTATTTTTCAGGCTCATCAAAAAGGACATTTTGCGGAAATGAAGCTAATCCCGAGGGCATCTTTGTTTCATTTATGTTGGACGCAAATCCTTTTCGGGCGGTGCCAATCTTAAAACACTGGATATTTAATGCACATGTTCGAATGTTTGCCTTTTTTACTTCCAGTCCAATAAATGTTGCTTCACCGAATACCACTATTAATCTAATGGGGGACATTGTCAATTTAAAAAATCTTGTTGACAAACTTGATCAAATTTTAGACAATTTTATAAACAATTTAGAGGAAAATCTCAAAAACAGAACTTCTTCTTTAATTGTCGTCTTCAAAAATACTCTCCAGATATTTAAATCCAAATTAAACGAAATGAAAGGGTCTTTAGATATAAAGAAGATTCTTAATCTTGTAACAAAAACGTGGAAGATATATGTACAGGAATTAAAATACACTGGCCAGGCCATTAAGGACTCCGTAGAATTCGAAAGCAACCTGATTGCGCGAAATATATCGGATTTGATAGAACATGATCGTAAACAGATAGGTAGAAATATTGACTTAATGATTACTAAATTACGGAATCAAATATATGCCCTCAAGTCAAGGCGCACAGGATTTGGTTTAAGATTCTCGACATCGATAACACTTCTAGGTTTCAAATTTCCATCAATGGATATTGAATTTATCAATTCTGTAAACGGCTTTGCTCAATGTAGTAAGTTTAAAAAAGTGTATGAGCTGTTGCGCGATGAGGAATCTGTTAAAGTTCTTGCTGGGTTTACAGTTAGAACACGGTTGGGATTTTTCATAACTGCAGAATCTAACTCGTTTATAAGTATTGCATTCAGCAAATCAAGTTCAAACTTTGTAGCTCATTTTCATGCACATCTTTCAGTGTTAGGAATTGAACTCTCCAAAGATATAATAATTAATAACAATGGCCTTTACCTATTTTTTGAGGCAAACATTTGGAATGCCTTCTTAGCAAAGGTAGAAATTTCAGCAGAAACAGGCAGGAAATGGTATGATATGCGATATTCTGTCAAAGGTAGATTACTTGCAAAATCGATAGATAGTGGATCAACACCAGATAGCAACGATTTTCAAGGAAGTTATCTTGATGGACTTCGACAACTATCCAAGAAATTTGGCGATAAGGCAAACGAAAGATTCCAAGCTGCACAAAATGCTCTTACATCTGCTAAAATAGTATTAACGAATGCACAGCAAAAACTATCATCTGCCCAGGAAAGAGTTAAAAATTGTAATAATGTGTTTGATGCAGCTGTCAGATCACTTGAAAAGACAAAAGAAAAACTTGAAAGAGCTAAGGGGCCATTTCTCAAGGCTATCGAAAAGCTGAAGAAAGCACAACGGAATATAGGCAATCTTTGTAAAATTAAGACATGCAATAAGATTTGTGTTCCTGGAATACGCATAAAAATGTGTAAAAAAGGTTGGGTGCGATATCCATGTGTAAGGAAATCAGGCTGTATGTTTAAAATTCCAAATCCATTGTGTGAATTAGCAAATGCTGGTTGTCGCATTTTTCGGGTAGCAGCATACATTGCACTGGAAGCAGCGAAATTATTTGTTCGTGTGCCATTACTTGCGTTTGATGTAGCAAAAGCCCTTGTTTCTGTGGCTCAATTAGTCGTGGACAAATCTAGAGTTGTTTTAAAAATTGCAGTTGGTGTACTTGAAATTGCGAAACTTACTCTTGAAACTTTAAAAGGCGGGTTGGAGGTGGCTAAATTTGCGCTAAAGGGTGTAAAATTGATTGTTGGTGCCGCTTTACATGTTTTCGACCTGATAATTAGGTATGGTATTCAAAATATCATTGATGTGAAAAATTGTAGATTTCAGTTCACATTAACAACTCGTGATCTGCCGGTTTTTGGTATTTCCTGTGATATTCAAGCATTTCGTATGGGTTGGCACACATTTGAATTTGAATTTGATTTTAGGCACCCACTCAATAGTCTTTGGAGAATGGTAAAATCTACAGTATCTTCACTTTTCAATTCCTTGAAGCAAATACTAGGCAAAAGAAAAAAAACGCGCAATATCCTTCGAATACAATGTTTTAGAAATAAAGTCAGTACATAAAAGGGATGTTTTCAATCATTCAGATGTTACTGATTCTGTTTTGAATGATGTATCTGGATTCGAACAAAACTCGAGCATAATTCGTCTGGAAAATAAATTGAACAATCGCATTATTTTTTTCGAAGAAAATTGTGTTATTTTCAAAAAAGTATTTTCGTTTCTCAGTATTGCAACAAATGAACTGTTAGAAATAACAAACGATTCTGTTTCCAGCCTTAATGATCTCAATGATTCCAGAAAAGCTTTGGTTGATATAGAAAACGAAATAGCTTCAGAAAACCATACAGTAGAAATCTTCGGCATTAACAAGGAATATGCACTGAAGGACTATAATCTTACAGCAGAGGACTTAGATGAGATTTTAAAAAATGCCAGTGTACCTAACGATCCTTTACTAAAAGAACTTGTAAATACCACGAAGTTTGCTAAAGATTTATTCCAGGAGACATTAAAAGAAGCTGATTCCTTGTCAGTACTTGAGTACTGGCAAATTGGAATGAAAAACTTGTCTCAAGAATATTTCTTTGAAAGTGAATGCATCGGATTTAGGGATTGCCTGAATTATTCAGTCGCTATTTTGAATAATCTTTTTAGCGATGACATCATACCTAATTCCTATAATAACAGAGACATAACGTTGAAAATTGACAATATTTTTCAACGCTTGCTTTCAAACTTGTCTATAACAGTTACAGATTCTTACAAGTCATCAATTGGTATCCTTATCAAACTTCAAAACCTGAACGCCTCCAACGTGTTCTGTTCAAATCCTCCGAACATAACCACGCAATTAGAGGATAAAAAGGTTTTATATGGATCAGAAGTTAAATTTACCTGTGAAGCTATAGGTGACCCTGAACTAGTGATATATTGGTATCACAATCACTCCTTAATTGGTCAAAATGTATCAGAAATTGTGTTAGTCAATGTTACAGAAAAAAATGAAGGTACTTACAGATGCGAAGCTGGAAATGTTGTGGCCAATGTATCATCTAATGAGGCAATTGTACAGATAAACGGTAGGTTAGGTTATTAATCGCTTTACATAATTCTAAGTTTTCGACTGAAAAACAAATTACTTAAATAACCATTTATACGTACTAAAAAGTATATATTATAACTTGTTTATACTGTTAATTGTTTTTTCTTAAGTTTTTTTTATATATCTCGTCGAAATATATTAGTTAAGACTAGTAATAGCGCCTTTAGTTGGTTTAGATCAGTTATTTACCGGATCTTTAGTCTTAATCGAAAGAACTTTGTATGTCCCTTTGATATCTTTCGCCCCGCTTTTGTAACACTATTAAATATCATAACTAAAAAATTGTTGATTGCATATTTGTCTCTTTGTCGTTGTTTCTGTCTAAAGCAGGGTTTGTAAAGTATTCACCGGGCGGGTAAAAAAACGGATGGGAAAACCCGAGTTTTTCAGGGCTATGCAATACTCTCAGAAATAGGTAATACTAGACAATAGGATTTTTTAAAAGCTTATTTTACTCAAAATATTTTAAAAAATGGTGTAGTTTCATAGTATTTATTGCTAAATATATACATTTTATACAGAAAAATATTGAGAGAAATTTTCAGAGGATAAAATAATTTTTTCCTTTTCTCTAACCACTCCATATAGGCAAAAGATAATACGTTTAGCACATTTCTGGATACTTACAGGCTTGTTTATTTTCCAGCTGCATTTTTATGAATCCAAACTTCAAAAAATACTTTTATTGTAGTGTAAAAGTGAATTCTAAAATGTAGTTGATATGCAATTATATTGCTAAATAAACGCTCTAAGGGAACCCATACTTCCGAGACTTTGTGTCCTCAATGCTCCTCAACTTCGTGCTTAGTTTGGCCTTTTGATCTTGTTTTTTATTCGAGCGCCATTTTGTATACGAAACGCGCGTCTTGCGTACACAATTTTAATCCTGGTATCTATGATAAGTTTATTGTAGAGTTAATTAAAGAAAATATAGACACATTTGTGCTATAATTTGAATAATTACATATTGCAAGATTTAGACAAATTATAAATATATCCAAGAAGCAAAGATATAAAACGTATTCCATATAAAAAGTCTTATCATACAATTGTCCAAGCTTAACTCAATTCAAGTGACAAAAATGGGAAAATAATATTCATAAAAATATTCTTGAATTAAAAAAAATCATAAACACAAAAATCAAAACGATGTACAGCTATGTCAATTTAATAGATATTTTGTCTTATACTAGTTAACAATATGATAAACAATTAAACAATCCCCCGGCTGTGTCAGAACAAAGAATTTTAAATGTTGGTTTTTGCTACATCTACGCTAAGCATGCAGCATTTAGAAGTTAGAGCAAAGACTAGTATGCCCCGAGTCAGAATAATGTGTCTGTTTAGTGTGACATGACTTCCCTGTAAACTTATATTGCGTACTAGCACGTTGAAATTCCGGTTCATTGTGTCGATCTAGTTCAAAGTTGGTTTAATATTCATCTAACACCAATATGTTATCGTCCTGAATAAACTTCCACGGGACTTTTAACAGCCATCCGTTCATCGTTTTCAATAAAATTATGTTTAGAGCACATGATCACATCATTAGGCCACATATACCTCTTCTTTTGAAAAAAAATATTCTCCGGATAATGGTTGTCTCCTCTCATCTTCGTAATTGTTTTACATATAAACTATACATTTTAGATATCTTTCATAACTTATATTATTTAATCAAAAGTGCATTTTAACTGATGATTTACTCAAAAATTCATATGAATATTTATAAAATCAAAATCAACTAATAGTATGCTCATGCACTAATTGATTTTAATTTAATATCACAAAACAAACAACAAATACATTGTTTATTTAAGAACATTTGATATAATAAAAAAATGTGGGACAATCAGGCCCATGGTTTTCGAAAGTATCCTAAAATATGTCATTAGATGTATGTTAGGACAAACTGTATGACCATCTTTATAGAAAGCCAACGGGGTCAAAATTCTTAATTCGTAAAATGTCAATTTGTAACTTGTAACTGTGTAATTTTAGAATTCTTTTAAAATTTGTAAATTGTTAATTTGTAACTTGTAACTATGAAATATCAAAATTCTTAATTCGTAAATTGTCAATTTGCAACTTGTACGTATCTTTGTAATTTCAAAATTCTTAATTCGTAAATTGTCAATTTGCAACTTGTATCTTTGTAACTTCAAAATTCTCAATTAATTCGTAAATTGTCAATTTGTAACTTGTACGTATCTTTGTAATTTCAAAATTCTTAATTCGTAAATTGTCAATTTGCAACTTGTATCTTTGTAACTTCAAAATTCTCAGTTAATTCGTAAATTGTCAATTTGTAACTTGTAACTGTGAAATTTCAAAATTCTTAATTCGTAAATTGTCAATTTGTAACTTGTACGTATCTTTTTAATTTCAAAATTCTTAATTCGTAAATTGTCAATTTGTAACTTGTAACTGTGTGATTCCAAAATTCTTTAATGGTAAATCCTCAATTTGTATATTGATGTTTTGTAACTTGTAACATGTCGATTCGTTAAATGTCGATTTGTTAAATGTCATCGTTGTATTATGCTAATGATCATTATGACGACAGATGGCGCTCGGTTTCTTCTTTGGCGTATAAGCCTCCTGTAAGTAGAAGCACCTCCATATGGAGTAAATACCTAGGTAATTTAAATCAATTAGGTACAGCACATACATATAAAAGAAAACAAATAGATAAATAAATTTTTTTTTTGATATGGCATATATACCAGGGACTAGGTTTTATATAGAGGTGACATCGAATAAACATGTATGTCTACAGTACTGTTCACCATACCTGGAAGGGGTGTGTCACTTCCTGTATTAAGGTAAATACAGATGTGTCGCTGAAATGGGCTCCCTTATCAACTTCGCGACTGCATGAGCTGGAAAATTCATACTAATATTTTTCTGGGTCGCAAATTTTGGACTAAATGTATGATGGGAGAAATGGGTTGACACCTATTATTCCTTAGTATTATAATCTCAATGTTAAAATTTTGGGAAAGAATTTAATTATCTAATGATTTAACAATTTTCAGTCAATAAATATTGTGGAAAAACAGGTAAAGAACTACATAAAGTGTTCTGAGATTTCAAATAGCAAAATACCACAATATTCTAACTCATTTTTCGTAAAAACAGTAATCGAGTGGAACCACCTTGAAGACACTGTAGTGCGCACACCGAGCGCTGATAGCGAAGTTCAGAAACTGCTCTCGTGCACCGTCAATAAATCGACGGCGCTCTCTATACCATTGTATAAAAGCCAGTAGTTGTATCCACCACGTATTCCTACAGATACAGATACAGATCTAGAATGATCATGGTACTGGATCGACATATACTAGGAGGTGTCCCCTCTGGATATTTTTGTCAATGACCATGATCGTAAAACTATGAAACTGTTTCTTTTTTATTACACACCTATACCCACTTTTAACCAAAGTGACACCCTACCCCTTTGACTTGTCAGAGAGAAGATCTCGCCATTTGCATGACAGAAGCAATTATCTCCAATCTGTTTACCCTAATTTTATTTCTCCATGAAAATCTTTGCGCATGATTTGGGGTTTGGCAGAGGGTCTGTCAGGGATCATTTTGGAAAGTAAAATGGTGGCAAACTGTGCGGAGGGGTAGCCAGGCGGAATACAACAACATGGTTTCGTCAATTGGATATTAAAATTATGTATCATGGGATGGCGTCATTTCTTGACATATCATCGGGCGGGAAATATTTGTATTGTTACGAATTCATTGCAAATTAATTTTATTTTTTTATTTCGTATGAATTTCAAATTTCGAAAATTTAGCTTATATAATAAAAACGTTATTGATTAACATCGTGAATCAACCCGCTCGATGAAGTATAAGATTGAATCAGGTCGTCAGGCTAAGGAGGGTTGCAGGGGGGGGGGAGGGTATCGGGAGTACAGCGCATTAAGCAGGAGTTGAGAGGGAGGAAATGAGAATATTTGGTCTTTTTTGTTATGTAAATTTTTATAGAACGAAAAAACAGGAAGCGGCAGTTCTTAAGCTTTTTGACTAGAAAAGTTTAGTCGGCATGTATATTTATATATATATATCTGTCAGCCCTTCACCCTCAGTCAGATTAAAATGGTCCGATAATAACATTTTAGGATTAATAGACACCGTTTATTACCTAGTTTTTGCAGTAATTATGTAGCCTTTTATAGCCGACTATATGGTATGGGTTTTTCACATTGTTGAATGCCGTACGTTGCCTATAAATAAAGGCAAAAGTAGTATACCGCTGTTCGAAATTCATAAATCGATTGAGAAAAAACAAATCCGGGTTACAAACTAAAACTGAGGGAAACTTTAATTGCTTACATCGGCTTTATTAGAACTTTGGTGGAAAGTTGTCTCATAAGCAATCATACGGTTTGTTACCACATCTCCTCATATAGATATAAGAAGATGTGGTATGAGTACCAATGAGACAACCCTCCATCCAAGTCAAAATTTATAAAAGTAATATATCTATTTACCCGAATAATTCAGTCGTTATATTCCGCTGATCTACGACTACTTCATTAACCTCGCAGTTACGTGGAGGGACTGAACTATTCGGGTTGCATTTTTAAATAGTTTCCGTTTTCGAACAAAACGCCACCTGTCGTCTTCAGAAAACAAAATAAAACCGGGTTCCTGTATACATGTCATATAAAAAAAAATCTGTTCATTTTCTTTTAGATGCATTTGCTGTACATAATTGACTTAAATTACTTAGGTATAAACTCCATATGGAGGTGGTTCTACTTACAGGAGGCTTATACACCGAAGAAAAAACCGAGCGTAATCTGTCGTCATAATGATCGTTAGCATAATACAATATAATGACATTTAACAAATCGACATTTAACGAATCGACATGTTACAAAGCATCACTATACAAATTGACAATTTACCAATACAGAATTTTGAAATCACACAGTTACAAGTTACAAATTGACAATTTACGAATTAAGAATATTGAAATTACAAAGATACAAGTTACAAATTGACAATTTACGAATTAAGAATTTTGATCCCGTTGGCTTTCCATACATCTTAAGACTATCATTTTATAGAATGTAAATCAAAGCTGTCCTAAGATAGTCATACCTATGATGATCTTATGACTGTCATACGTGAACATATTTTCTTTTTATTTTGAATTATGAATAAAAATTATAAATATAGCTATCAAAATAATAAGTCTGTAAATAATGATTATTGCCATTCTTATCATTTACGAATATTTATTTTATTTTTCATGAATTTATATATGAAAAGGAATTACAATCCAGGTTGATGATTTGTTTCAATTACGTTATATATATATAATACAATTCTAGAACTTCGCGTTCATGTATTATTATGTATGGAGTGTAATTTAATTGTGAATACTTTAAAGATTTGGTACATCAAGTACCCTCTAAACGAAATGCCCGTGCAAAAACGTTTATAAGCTACTATATATATATACATAAACAAGAAAAAGAATATATAAATAAATATAAATCAATTGTTTTAAAAACAATTGTAAACGGTCTTTCCCCTCCGAAACATGATTGATTGATTAATTGGTTGGTTGGTAGTTGTTTGGTTGTTTGGTTGGTTGATTGGTTGGTTGGTTGGTTGGTTGATTGATTGATCAAAAGTTTGCATGGTAATCTCTCTTTCTATGCGAGGCAGCGGACTTAACGTCCATATTCTGACCGAACGTGGCTGCGTATTTATACATCCCGCACAGCCAAACGGACGCCTTGGATGTCCTAATAAAAATTAATCCTAGCATCCTCTTTTTATAAATTTTCTCTCTTTTCTATGCAACCTCGGACTTCATGTCTTGTTTTATTTATTTGTTGTGTGTGCATTTTGTTTAAATTTGTAGGAAAACTGACTTTCATTGTGTCTTGTAGTTGTCTTGTAGTTTCACTTTCTACATTTGAATGTGGAATGATTTATTTTAAATCTAGGTCCCCGCGCGCTCGGTGGTGTTTGTGAAGTCACGTGAGACTCGACTATATATGTCTGGACTTGGGGGAGACCGTTGAACAGACCACATGTGTATTAATAAGAGTAACACGATACTTATTGATTTTATTTTTACAGGCATTTTTCGTACATATATTTACGGAGCACAGATTTGTATTTGAATGCATGTTTAGAAATTTGATTGTAGGATTTCACTAATATAAAAGAACTTGGGAGCGATTTTTATATCATTGATTTTAATTTCTCAATCGAGGTCAGGTCGTCAAGCGTACCGCACGTGTATTTATAGTGCTAACGAGCATATATTTTCTTGATTCATTTTACAGGTAAACTGATTTCTAATCGCTGATCACGAGTCTTCAGCGAAAACAAAAATAATGCTGTTGTTGTGGTATTTTAACAAAACGTTTATCGATTAATTTCAGAAAATACATGAATTGGAGCAGATTTTTGCAGGGTTGGATTTCTATTACAGGAGTTTGTACATAAGAAGGATGGCATTTTTACAGTAAAATGTACGGGACTGAAGGCAATTTTCATTTCATAGAAATGGGATTTAAAAAAAAAAATCAGTTGGAAAAAGGGGGGTCAGTGGTAGTAGACCTTGGTTAATTAATTGAGATCAGATGCATGTTTACATCATGATAGCTGCAAAGTTTGAAGTTATGATTAGTTAATCTGTTCATTTTACCATTTCAGTGGCTTTAAACCCCCAAGAATAGTCACGTACCATTTCGACAAAAACTTTCCAGTAACATCATGTTGCGACTAACATTTTGGTTAGATTTTTTTGTCGATATCTATAACTCTTTGGGAGTAGAAGCGACATGAAGTGAATGCAAAAAATTTGGAACATGACCTTTACCTTTGACCTTGACATCACTTTCTAAGTTAGGACCCAATGAATTCAAATAAATGGACTCTAGGTTAATACGGCTCACGGTTTATGAGTTACAAACACATAACGACAAATTTAATTGGTAAAGGTAGATAACTCCTAGAAGATGTCACTGAATAGCTTCGATCAAAATCAGTCAAAAATTCTGGAGGATATAACGAACAAATAGGAAAAAAATACGTTATCTTTTTTGGTTACGGAGGAGATACAATAAAAAGTTAAACTGTTTTGGGAGATAACTCTTGCAATAAAAAATGTTCGGTAAAACAGGGTCAGTTTCAAAATTGCAATAACTGTTCGATATGATATGCAAAAATCTAAGCGACATCTAGCGAAACGACTTTACACCGCAAGAAAATTAATAATAATCAGAACAAAATCACGTCGCAGGAGATTAAAATGTTAATTGAGAAAAAAATAAATCTAATATTTAGCTTACTGAGCAACACAACAGCAAATAGTGCTTCAAGGAGAGAATGAATTTGAGGATGCATGTGCAAAGATAAATGCCGTAAATGGCACTGACCGACTTATAACAGTGGAAGAAATATCGTAACTGTTATGATAATAATAAGACCATCATAAGTCATGTCGCGAGGTGTCTTAAGTTAACGATAAAAGTTATGACATATCGTAACTTGGGATACTTTCGAAAAGATATCTTACGACTATGACATGTCTTAAGAGCATCGTAAGACATGTCTCAAATCATAAGATACTTTCAAAACCAGGTCCCAAAACTATAAAATTCCAAAAAGTAGGACATCCGGGAATAAACCTTGATTAGTGATGTAAGTTTAAGTATGATAAAATTGTGTGAACATTAGAAATACGATAATCAAAACGGAGAAATCCCTTTGGTCCTTTTGGGCCACGATTTATGCCTGCTTCTAACTGCTGTTGAATTATAATTGTGTAATTTAATATAGTAGAGGCTTGAAAATTTACGAGGTTGTAAAAAAAATACAAACATAGATGGATGCAATGAAAAAAAAACAGTTCATTGTAGTGCTTATGAAATGCCTTTGGTCCATTATTAGTGCGTCTCTTTCTTATTACTTTGGCATATGTTGCTAAAAAATTTCTAATTCCATGAATTTTTCTTTTATGGTACAATATCTTATGAACGGTTATCATGTAGTTTGAACAATTTAGACAACTTTTTATGAGGATTAATCATAAATCTAGTTGAGAAAACTTTTTGCATTTGTCTATGTGTGTTCAAGTTTGTGTAAGAGTTGCTGGACCAATAGTTTCTAAAACTTATACACTTTAAATAAGAAACTCAAACAAGTTAACTTATAAGTCAAAATAGTATGTCTTTAAGTATTGCATTTGTTTTTAATCACTGAATACCCTTAAAAATTCAAACCAGTATTTCATATTTCCCAGTATTGCCCAGTATTACCCGTTTAACCCAGTAAAACCCGGGTTTTTGTAGTATTTCACGCTTGCCTGAGCCATGCTAATATGATCCGAGTTTTTACAGAACAAATTAATTTGGGTCAGTTAATACCATTTCTGTCATTATTTCATAGCTTATATTGTTATGTAATTTTCTATGGATAACATTAATAAGGCGAATGAATCATGTTCGTACATCTTTTTCGCTACATTTTTCAGATCATAAAGTTCTAAAGGTCGTTTTCATTGCAATTTTTACTTTTTTTTATCCGATCTTATTCAAAAGGTAGAAACATATTAAGAAAGAGTTTTCCTTTTGAGAACGACCCGCTAATTATTTGATGTATATTTTTAAATTTAGGTTTTCCAGCTGAAATTGAGTTTACAAGATACAATAGAAGTAAGTACATAAATTATAAAATTCACATGAATTTTTCTGAAAACTAGCTGAGATTCAATTAATGTAAACATTATGTACTTAAACAATAAATGTACATTTTACGACATTTCGATTGCATTTAGGAAAACTAAGTTGGAACATTGCTTTTTATTTAAGGGCATACGATAAAGAAAACATCCTTCGTTGACTTTTCTTTAAGATTTTGATTCAAAGTAAATTTTAATATGCACATTCGAAATATGCAAGGAAATTTATTTACATGAATTTCTCTGTGAAAACAATAGTTAATTTCTAAATAGTGTTGTTCAAGCTTAAATATGATATTACTTTGGTCTACGAAAATGTCAAATGAATCGTAGAAGGATAAATGTTTTTTTTTTCAATTTAAACTCGTCACATGCATTTTTGAGCAATTACCACCCGGCCGATTCTGACGATTTGAAGAGAGAAAGCCTATTAAGAATCATAATCAGCCTTAAATAGTAGCAACATTATTAGGAATCATTATCACAAAACTTAACTTGTCAGCAAAACGTAGAATATAATGAAAATAAGAAGAATTTACTTCGCAGTGCATTCTTAATACAACATCCTTTTGCTGTAAATCCCTCGGTATAGCAAATTGGTATATGAATTACTGTCATTTTTGAATTTATTGATGACAGAAAAGTATACAGTCTTCATTTGCCTCGAATTTTATGACTTCGCAGTTGATTTCGAGTGCTCAAATGTATATTATCATTTTTTTATTACAACAATTTTCAAAATGACATATAATTTTTTGTTCAGATGTATCAGAATTCTATGTGCATACGATAATACACATTATTTTTCAGTTGAAGAAAGACATTGAGATATTTTAAAAAGGTCGGAGGTAACATTTTGATATCTTTCAGCTCACATGGCCGAGTGAACGTTTCTAACACCTTGCGTCCGTCGACGTCCGTTAACTTTTACAAAATCTCCTCTGAAACTAATGAGCCAAATTTAACCAAATTTGGCCACAATCATCATTTGGATATCTAGTTTAACAGAGGTGTCCGATGTCCCCACTTGTCTGCCAATATGTCTCAAAATTGAACATAGGGGGTAAAATGCAAGTTTTGACTATTATTTTGAAAACCTCTATAGAAAGAGAAAATCTGACAAGGGCAGAAATGTTCAGAATGTTGAGATCTAATCAGACGACTTCGTACACGAGTTATTTCCCTTGAAATGCCGATTTTTGTTTTACCATTTTTGCCTTTTATCTTGAAAACTTAGATACAAATTTTAAATACAAATATAACCAGCAAGACAAGATTCGCATATCGGAAATTGTCTGTCGACTCCTTAATGGAGTTATTGCCCTAAATGACGATTTATGACATTTTGTTTTGTGTTTATGCCTATTATCTTGAAAACTATAATAGATGTAAAGAAACTTTATATAGCAAAACTTATCAACAAGGCAAGATCTTCAAATATGTCAACATGGCTGAATTTGTTAGTCGACTCCTTATAGGAGTTATTGACCTTAAAAAGTAAAATAACAAAAATACTAAACTCCAAGTAAAATTCAAAACGGAAAGCCAAAAATCAAAAGCTCAAACACATTAAACGAATGGAAAAAAACTGTCATACTTCTGACTTGGTACAGCCATTTCCTTATGTAGAAAATGGTGGATTAAACCTGATTTTATAGCTAGCTAAATCTGTCACTTGTATGACAGTCGCATAGAATTTCATTATAATGACGATTTTTTTTTAATAATTTTTTTTTCGTTTTTTGCCAATTGTCTTGAAACTTTTAATAAATAGATACGAATTTTAAAAGACAAATATGATCAGCAAGACAAGATTCACAAATATGTCAATATGTCGAAAATTGTCTGTCGACTCCTTATTGGAGTTATTGCTCTTAATGATGATTTATACCATTTGTTTGCGTTTTTGCCTATTATTTTGAAATCTATAAAAGAAATTTGAGAAATTTGAAAGTTGAAAGAGAAAAATAGCAAAACTAATCCACAAGGCAAGGTCTACAAATATGTCGATATTGCTGGAATCGTTGGTCAAATCTTCATAGGAGTTAGTGCCCTTAAATGATGGTTGTACAATTTCTTATTTCATTTTTGCGTTTTTGTTTAAAACTATCAAAGATAGATAGATTATATATTGTATTTTATATGGTGCACATAGACATAGGTGAGTGACGCATGATCTTTAGAGGCTATAGTTTGTTAAAGACAGATGTGATATTGTACAATGAATGCAAACCTACTGGATTCGGTGTTTTCGTTATTTTCTTTATTCTCTTAAACTTAACCATGTTAACAGTTGTATGTGAATACTTATCATAAGAACGTAACATATAACATTTTGAAGTGCTTTTATTGACTTGACTACCCTCACTAACACTCAAAATTAAACAAGCTATGATTGTTTTTGCTTTATGACAGTTTGTTTGCATCGGTAATTAGTAACTTACGGGTCTGTTGTAAAGTTATTGTTAAATGTAAAAGTTCTTCAAAGATGAAAAGTATCGTAATTCTTTTTTTTCAGTTTATAAATGTAAAAGCTATCCTTGTTTGGTTTTGAATGAAGAATTCGATACGCTTGACAAACGAATATGGGAGCACGAAATAACAGCTAGATATGATTATGTAAGCTCTGTTTTTACTTTTCTTATGTATATCTATACTGGTCGAGTTGTCAAAGCCAATAAAGACAATGCAAACAATATTGCCGGTGGTGGTCCGGGTACACAGTTATCGTCCTTTGATTTTCGTTGTCCACGAATATAGTCCCTAGTGTGGACAGTGTGTTACTTGTCGATTTTTTTTATACCCCTTCAAAATTTATTTCTCCATGTTTTATGACTCAAATAGTAAGTAGGGGGGTGAAATGACACTGTAAAAAAATTTGGGTCATGAATTTTAAAGTTAAGTAGTGATTTGGTCCAGCTGAAAAAGGTTAAAAATTAGCACTTCGGAAGCTGTCAAAAGATTTGAAGACCCCCTTAACATGAAATTGTCCATATTTTGAGTTAGAGCCGATGAAGTTTTCTATAATTTTGATATAATTTGTCCCAAAAGTAGTACAACACACTGTAAAAATATTATTGGGAAAGCGCAGGTGGGATTTTTTTAATTTTCATTTATTGTCTAAAAGAAATGCACTACGAAATAACTGTGTACTCGTACCTAAGAGGTGAAATCAGGAAATATAGAATCTGTACTTTGGCAACTTCCCTGAATGATTTGATGGTGTCAATTTATCAAATAGCATAAAACTAAAGGATTTAAACTTTTATTTGATAGAATTTCTGCAAAAATGACCAATTTTGGCATTTTATGGTCAAAATAAGCATTTCATAGCTTTTTCAATTTTGATGCATAAGTGGCATTCTGACTTTCTATCTGACAGGTTTTTATGTGTCAATATTTGTGTTTCTATGCTTCAATCCAGTTGTATTACTCATTTGTGAACTCTGAATCTACAGAAAAGAAGATTATCTCGGACAATATGTGCAAAATGTGTTGTATATATGATCCTCGTCTAACGCCCTGTTTGGATCAAGTTAAATGTGAGGAGCTTGGAACATAAAAGTTGAAGTCCAGTATAAAGACCTCACTAAATTTGTATAAAAAGCACTTAACAATGTCTTTTGTACCTGTTTTATGTCACATAATATCTTTCTTTTCTTCTGTAGGATAGCAAGTGGTTCAAATATAAGCCTGTTGAGACTAAAATTGCATGCATGTTTTTCACTAAAAAGTGAAAAATCTTTGTGTCAGACCATACTGTCTGCAAAAAAAGTTGAATGCAAGAGTCTTTTTGTGCTCAGATTTATTGTATCATGTCACCTGAGTGTAGAAATGATAGAAAAGACACAAATTTTTATTTCCTATAGCTTCAATATGCATTTTTAAATGTAAATATGTGATGCGGCCTAAATTGACCCTAAATTATTTTCAGTCTTACTTGGCCTAAGACCCTTTTAAACTAATGTGATATGTTATTTGTAAGTTTTCTTTCCATTTAAAGTACATTAAATACATATGTAAGGATTATTTATAACCAAAAAGCTTTACAAATTTAAAATTGCTGGAAAATATTACATCTTCATGTAAGGCCCCCCTTCATTGGAAAACCTCCATTTTTAGCCACAGGCTCATATAAATTTGACTTTTTAATAATTATGATAAGTCTGATAAATCAAATGAGTACTCTATTGCTTTTAATACATAATATATTATATATTAAGGCATTTCAAAAGTATTTTTTGGCAATATTTTAATTTTTTAAGCCCCAAATGTTGATAGTTGAAAATTTTCAATTTTAACGTCTAAATTTAACACGCAAAGTTGAATATAGAATTAGTCATATTGTCTATAATATAAATCCTATTGCCATGAAACTTTGTAAGCAGTCTTATAATTTAATAAGCTTTGGTCATACCAAGTTTCATTAAGATTGGTCAACTTTTTCTACCCTATTAGGTCCGGGTACACAGTTATCGTCCTTTGATTTTCGTTGTCCACGAATATAGTCCCTAGTGTGGACAGTGTGTTACTTGTCGATTTTTTTTATACCCCTTCAAAATTTATTTCTCCATGTTTTATGACTCAAATAGTAAGTAGGGGGGTGAAATGACACTGTAAAAAAATTTGGGTCATGAATTTTAAAGTTAAGTAGTGATTTGGTCCAGCTGAAAAAGGTTAAAAATTAGCACTTCGGAAGCTGTCAAAAGATTTGAAGACCCCCTTAACATGAAATTGTCCATATTTTGAGTTAGAGCCGATGAAGTTTTCTATAATTTTGATATAATTTGTCCCAAAAGTAGTACAACACACTGTAAAAATATTATTGGGAAAGCGCAGGTGGGATTTTTTTAATTTTCATTTATTGTCTAAAAGAAATGCACTACGAAATAACTGTGTACTCGTACCTAAGAGGTGAAATCAGGAAATATAGAATCTGTACTTTGGCAACTTCCCTGAATGATTTGATGGTGTCAATTTATCAAATAGCATAAAACTAAAGGATTTAAACTTTTATTTGATAGAATTTCTGCAAAAATGACCAATTTTGGCATTTTATGGTCAAAATAAGCATTTCATAGCTTTTTCAATTTTGATGCATAAGTGGCATTCTGACTTTCTATCTGACAGGTTTTTATGTGTCAATATTTGTGTTTCTATGCTTCAATCCAGTTGTATTACTCATTTGTGAACTCTGAATCTACAGAAAAGAAGATTATCTCGGACAATATGTGCAAAATGTGTTGTATATATGATCCTCGTCTAACGCCCTGTTTGGATCAAGTTAAATGTGAGGAGCTTGGAACATAAAAGTTGAAGTCCAGTATAAAGACCTCACTAAATTTGTATAAAAAGCACTTAACAATGTCTTTTGTACCTGTTTTATGTCACATAATATCTTTCTTTTCTTCTGTAGGATAGCAAGTGGTTCAAATATAAGCCTGTTGAGACTAAAATTGCATGCATGTTTTTCACTAAAAAGTGAAAAATCTTTGTGTCAGACCATACTGTCTGCAAAAAAAGTTGAATGCAAGAGTCTTTTTGTGCTCAGATTTATTGTATCATGTCACCTGAGTGTAGAAATGATAGAAAAGACACAAATTTTTATTTCCTATAGCTTCAATATGCATTTTTAAATGTAAATATGTGATGCGGCCTAAATTGACCCTAAATTATTTTCAGTCTTACTTGGCCTAAGACCCTTTTAAACTAATGTGATATGTTATTTGTAAGTTTTCTTTCCATTTAAAGTACATTAAATACATATGTAAGGATTATTTATAACCAAAAAGCTTTACAAATTTAAAATTGCTGGAAAATATTACATCTTCATGTAAGGCCCCCCTTCATTGGAAAACCTCCATTTTTAGCCACAGGCTCATATAAATTTGACTTTTTAATAATTATGATAAGTCTGATAAATCAAATGAGTACTCTATTGCTTTTAATACATAATATATTATATATTAAGGCATTTCAAAAGTATTTTTTGGCAATATTTTAATTTTTTAAGCCCCAAATGTTGATAGTTGAAAATTTTCAATTTTAACGTCTAAATTTAACACGCAAAGTTGAATATAGAATTAGTCATATTGTCTATAATATAAATCCTATTGCCATGAAACTTTGTAAGCAGTCTTATAATTTAATAAGCTTTGGTCATACCAAGTTTCATTAAGATTGGTCAACTTTTTCTACCCTATTAGGTCCGGGTACACAGTTATCGTCCTTTGATTTTCGTTGTCCACGAATATAGTCCCTAGTGTGGACAGTGTGTTACTTGTCGATTTTTTTTATACCCCTTCAAAATTTATTTCTCCATGTTTTATGACTCAAATAGTAAGTAGGGGGGTGAAATGACACTGTAAAAAAATTTGGGTCATGAATTTTAAAGTTAAGTAGTGATTTGGTCCAGCTGAAAAAGGTTAAAAATTAGCACTTCGGAAGCTGTCAAAAGATTTGAAGACCCCCTTAACATGAAATTGTCCATATTTTGAGTTAGAGCCGATGAAGTTTTCTATAATTTTGATATAATTTGTCCCAAAAGTAGTACAACACACTGTAAAAATATTATTGGGAAAGCGCAGGTGGGATTTTTTTAATTTTCATTTATTGTCTAAAAGAAATGCACTACGAAATAACTGTGTACTCGGACCTAAGAGGTGAAATCAGGAAATATAGAATCTGTACTTTGGCAACTTCCCTGAATGATTTGATGGTGTCAATTTATCAAATAGCATAAAACTAAAGGATTTAAACTTTTATTTGATAGAATTTCTGCAAAAATGACCAATTTTGGCATTTTATGGTCAAAATAAGCATTTCATAGCTTTTTCAATTTTGATGCATAAGTGGCATTCTGACTTTCTATCTGACAGGTTTTTATGTGTCAATATTTGTGTTTCTATGCTTCAATCCAGTTGTATTACTCATTTGTGAACTCTGAATCTACAGAAAAGAAGATTATCTCGGACAATATGTGCAAAATGTGTTGTATATATGATCCTCGTCTAACGCCCTGTTTGGATCAAGTTAAATGTGAGGAGCTTGGAACATAAAAGTTGAAGTCCAGTATAAAGACCTCACTAAATTTGTATAAAAAGCACTTAACAATGTCTTTTGTACCTGTTTTATGTCACATAATATCTTTCTTTTCTTCTGTAGGATAGCAAGTGGTTCAAATATAAGCCTGTTGAGACTAAAATTGCATGCATGTTTTTCACTAAAAAGTGAAAAATCTTTGTGTCAGACCATACTGTCTGCAAAAAAAGTTGAATGCAAGAGTCTTTTTGTGCTCAGATTTATTGTATCATGTCACCTGAGTGTAGAAATGATAGAAAAGACACAAATTTTTATTTCCTATAGCTTCAATATGCATTTTTAAATGTAAATATGTGATGCGGCCTAAATTGACCCTAAATTATTTTCAGTCTTACTTGGCCTAAGACCCTTTTAAACTAATGTGATATGTTATTTGTAAGTTTTCTTTCCATTTAAAGTACATTAAATACATATGTAAGGATTATTTATAACCAAAAAGCTTTACAAATTTAAAATTGCTGGAAAATATTACATCTTCATGTAAGGCCCCCCTTCATTGGAAAACCTCCATTTTTAGC